AAGGCTCCGTGTGTCAAAAAGGCTGTGTGGTTGGTAACACCACAGAAGTAATTTGTAAGGCCTGCTTGAATTTTTTTTCTGATTTGTTGATTCTAGTCCAAGCCCTCTGCCTCCTCGCCAGGCCTCTCAGCACATGTGTAAATTGACACAAGCAGACCTGAACCAATTTTATTATAAGGTTGGTTGGCTCCACATCAGTCAGGCAAGGGGAGCCAAGGGACCAGGGGTTCTTGTCTGAGGCACTGAAGGACACCGACATAGGCTTTGTCAGGGCCGTGCCGTCAGAGTAGCCGACTGTAAACCCAGATTTCCTTCCACAAGATAAACTGACTGGTAGCCTGTCGTGCAGTTTTCACTACCCTGGGCAAAGCATGGCCTCCGCACACAGAAACTGTGCTGGGAACATTTGCAAGAGAAATACAGCAAGTGGGTTTGGAGAGGGGAGGGAGTGGGAGGACACAGGAAAGAAGAATGGAAGAAATAAGGAGATAAGTGAGAAATGAGGATCAGAGGAAAAGAAAAGGAAAGGAAAGAAGAAGATAAATAGAAGAAAGCAAATAAGAGGAAAGGAAAGACCTGGATGGAAAAATGAGAGAAGAAAAAACAGAAAAAGGAAGGAAGGGAAGGAGGAGAAAGGGAAGAAATGTGGTAAGAAGCATTAACATGTCCCAGAGGGAAGCCACAAGGTTAAGCATGGATTCAAGGATATTTCACGTTAATAATCAAGACTCAGTGATTTCACTCTTCTCTATCTTATATTTCACTAAATATTTGTCTGCCCAACTTAGCACTTCATTAGTTCATGTCTGATTCTCAAGATGGCTTATAGATATTAAAGCATTCCCTCAACAAGCTTTTTGGGAGCAGGGTTCTTAAATTTCTTTTGTTCTCTGGCCATTCCCTATTCTTCCTAGAACCTAGGACAGTGCTGAGTATCTGAAAAGCAGTGAGTTACCTGAGTATTCACCAGGTCTCTGGTAACTTTGCCAATTTCTCTCGCTGTAGGTGAGCAACTGTCTTTTTTTAAAATATACTTTTATTGATTTCAGAGATGAAGGGAGAGGAAAAGAGAGATAGAAACATCAATGATGAGAGAGAGTCATTGATCGGCTGCTTCCTGCAAGCCCCTCACTGGGGATCAAGCTCACAACTCCGGGATGTGCCCTGACTAGGAATCTAACCATGACCTCCTGGATCATAGCTCAAAGCTCAACCACAGAGCCACACTGGTTGGGCACCAACTATCTTTTTATTCTTTATGTAGCCAAATGGAAGTATTGTTACCTCCAATGCTTGTCATATGTCATAAGTTTTCCTGAGGTGTTGTGGTATCTAAAAAGACACATTCATTATAGCCTGTCTGAGCAACAGAAAACTCATTCAATCATTAATACATTGTGATAGGTAGTTATTTAGGAGAACATACATATTATTAAATATACATAGTATTAAAAATTACTCAGGTGGGCAATCTTACAAACACTACTGGAACATTTCACCTACCCCTTTGCCTAGCTACAGTCTGGGAAAGAATGCTCTCCAAATAAGGCTGATTTGAATCTCTTGAAACTGACCAGATATTTTAGTTTTGTTTTTCAAGAGACAATTTTTTTTTTTTAGTACAGAAATGCAACTGGTTCAACCCTCTGTTGGGAAATGTACATGGGGCCATGCACCATACAGTGGCATCGCAGTGGTATCATGCCCGAATGACAGGTCTGTCTAAATCCTCCTGCATCTGCAGCTACATCATGCCAAGTCTGGTTTTCAGAATCAAAGCTTCCACTCAATGGGCCTTGGGAAGAGACTGCAGGTATATAGAAGGAGCAGCCAGACATACTTGGAGAACTGGGTCTTGGTCTCCAAAAGAATACACAAATCGGGGGAGGGGCACAGGATCTGCCCATTGGCTATTAGATAGGCATATTCACCTGCTAATGCTTGATTCCTTGCTCCTTAGGATTGAACGGTTCTGGGCCGATATAGGAGAGTCTATGTATTGATCAGAAACCATTTTTAAGATGGTGCTGCCATCTGAAGAGCTTACCCAGGACATGGTTTTTGACTCAGCACAGCTTCAGGGATCCCTGCACCCCTACTGCCTTTTCCCTGTCTTCCTCTGAATGAATTGCTTACTTGGTCATGTTTTTGATACAGCAGAGCTGAGTGAGTGGGAGCGAGTGGTTTAAAAGCAGTAGAGAAGAGAAGGATATGCAATTATCATTTTCAAGAGCAGGAATAATATTTAACTGGAAAATGGTCCATTATTGGCTTTCACAGTTTTAGGGAGCCTGTGCAATTTACATGACCAGGAGAACTGAAATTAATTCCTGTCTCTCCTTCCATTTCTCATCATTCTTAAACCCGTATGTGGCCTTTGGGAAAATCCCAATAAAAACAGCTCCTCTGCATGCTGGACTGAGCCTGTTTTCCTTGCTCTCATCAGCACTGGAATACGCAGAATGTAAATGTAATTTTACACCATGTGTGGTTATGGCGATGATGTCCTATGTGAAGGAAATTGTTGTTCTAAGTGGAATTTTAAAAGAGCTATCCTACTGAAATCAGCACCCCTCACCCCCCCATGTTGTGAAGGGCAGAAGGGCATTTAAGCCACTGTCTAAATGCAACACTGACCAAACTTTGTGTGTGAAGGGATCAGGGGAGGGCACCCTGCGACCCTCGAGGCAGGTGCACCAGGCCACTGCACTGGACAGCCTTGGCATGACCGGGCTGGCTGCAGCCCTGGCTCCGGGATTATGAACCTTGCACAGCTGGTGCAGGGACAAGGCCCTGGTGGTTATTTAGTGGGAAACCTTTCATCATTTTGTTTTCTGCTGAAAGCCCTGAGGATATGGAATCCCAGAATAGAGTAATAATTTGCTCTCTGGATTAAAAAGTCAATATCCTTTCAGCTTCGCTGGGATAGAAAGAATGTTTAATCCAATCACTAGCACCCAGGAGTTTTTAAGTCAGAGCACTTTCTCCATATATATATATTTTTTTACCTTGGGCACGAGAGAAAGGTTTGACAGTTCTCTTGAGCATTTCATTCAGGAGACGGAGGGCTGTCTGGGGAAGACCCTGTGTATTTCGTCATTATCTTGTAAATGAAAGTACCAGTCTGGGATGCAGTAGAATTCCCTTTGACTGAATCACTTCCCCGAAGGCCTATGAAGGCCTATCATTTGATGACCAGAGACCAGGTATGTGAATTCTCTGCTCTGAGACGTCTGAGGAGACCACACAAGCCTCACCAGAGCAAACGGATGATGGACACTCTGTTTTGAGGGTGAGAATAAAACAAGAGCTTCTACTCTACCAAAATAGTTATTTATCAACCTAGGTGATTTTACATGCAACTACACACACACACACACTTTACAGATGTTCAGATCACATATCAGCAACCCACCCTGCTGGGGCAGATGGGACAGCACCCTGGAATTCATAGATAAAGAACAAGTGGATTCTTTGGCCATTTCAGCTCATCCTAAAACCCAACAGCCTCTCCACAAAGGCTTCCCACTTAGGATTTCCATAAAGGTGAGAAAAAACATCAACAATACAATACAAGGGAAGATAATGGCGACAATAGGAATAATTTCTTGAGGGCTTATTCTAGGCCAAGTACATTGGTGCCAAAAGTATTACATTTAATTCTCCAGGCAAAGGTAGTGGACATATTAAGGAAGAATGGTATTGGTGGAGGGGAAAAAAACAACCCTTTCAATGGGTTATTTCAACAAAGTGACATCTCCAGCTCTCCCCTCTCTTTCCATGTGAGCTAAAATGAGCATCTTCTATACCTCACTATCCCTATGAGGGGAGCCCATCAAGAAGACAACATTGTTATGACTCTACAGTCTCCTCATTTTTCGCTCTGTTTGGCCTACCCTATCTCCAGCTATGAGAGAATAAAAGGGTATGCATCTCTGTGATTAAAAAAATACTTTTTGGTCCAGCTGACTTCTCTCAAAGGCAAAGTATAAGCCCTATTAGAAATGGCAAACAGTTGTGAGATCATGATTTGGTAAAATCACTTGAATCAAAATACGAACATAGTGCAGTGATGTAACTGACACTGACTACCGTATGCTTAGAATGACTTAATGCGTGCATTTCAGGGGGAGAGGACTGCCGACTGTGCTCCTGGTCCTACACGCCCAATGCACTTCTCTGTGCTCCATGGAAGAGCTTCTTATTTCCATTTTTCTTTCCAGCAGGACGTTTAACAAGCTACTCAGTGACAGGCCCTGCCTCTCGGTTTGCTTCTGTGTCCATCCCTTTCCAGAGCTTCCACAGGCAGTACTGGCTATGGCTAATGACATCTCTTTATTTCGTTGGGGGCCCTCTCCTGGTTCACTGGAATTCCATACAAAACTTGAGCTCTTGTGCCCCTTCTCTTCGGGCACACAAGCATGCAATGGGCCAGGAGTGCAGCAATTTGTAGATGGAAGAAACAGCCACAGATGTCCTGACTCTGGAAGTGACCTTGGAGGGACAAAGCTGACTCAGGAGTTATTTTTGTCATTTAGAGAATAATGCTGAAAAGCAACCATTAGTACAGTTTTCTTGAGAGTCATATCAGAGCTTTCTGTTATTTGAAGTGATTTTTCCTCTCTTGTGTGGAGTCCTTAACATAGAATTCTATGAGAACATGGTCTAAGTATAATGCCCATTAGCTACCCTGACCTGATTTCTCCCTTGTTTTGGGAACTTTTGGGACAACCTGCAATTTTAAATCTCTCATATGCTTTTTAAAGTAATTTGGCATCTTCTGAAAAAGTCACTGCCATTTTGGATAACTGCTCTTCTTTCTACAAAGACAAAAGTGAAAAGAAAACAACAATTTGCCCCAAACCCAGGTCTTGTAGAAGAGAAGTGCTGACTGAGCTCCATATGCTAGTGCACCCCTAATGCAGCTCACAGGCCCCCTGCAACCAGAAACTGGCATGTCAATTCCAGCAGTGTAAGTCCCCTTGAGAGAGAGAGTTTACCTTGGAGTCCAGCTGCTGCATGTATGACCAAAGATATTCTATATTGGCTCCGAAAGGATGGACATGAAGGAACGTTGATATGATGCCTGAATTAAAGAGACAAACATTGGACATTATTAAGAGGCAAATACGAGTCTCATCTATGTCACCTAACTCCAATGAGGTTTTGTCAGGCCACCTTATTTATGGTCTTGCCATTTCTAACGGCATTCAACAAGCATTCAGTGACAGCTGCTCTGAAGACAATCACAGTAACACAACAGACATAACTACCTCATGGATTATAGTAGTTGGAGAAGCAAGAGCCTGAGAGAAGATGTAGATGAATAAAGGTGTTGCTAAACAAAGGCTCCTGGAAGCATTTCAACTACCAATTTTATGCTTGATTTACCAATATAAAATTGTAGTTATTAGAAGGATAAAATTATCTCTTTTCTTTCCCTCGGTGGACTTGGTCGTGTGAAAAAGGCTCACACAGCTGTGTCAGAAATTATGCTGCCTCAAATTTCCTTGATAATTATAGCTGCTAGTTACAAAAAGTATTTAATCCATATTTCCCCTAACTGCCACTGAAGGAAGCATAAATCCTTTCTGAAACCTTTGCTATTGCTCCCTGGTTGCTGCTGCTGTTTGAAGGGAGCCAGTTTGCTTTCTCCTCCTCTGTGCTATATTAGTAACTTGCAAGATCATTCAAAAGGTCCAGGAATGGATGGCTTGGCTAAAGTTTGATATACACTGAGTGGCCCAGATTATTATGATCTCTGAACGCATAATTATCATGATCTCTGAATGCATAATGATCTGCTATTCCATATATATATATATATATATATATATATATATATATATAGAGAGAGAGAGAGAGAGAGAGAGAGAGAGAGAGAGAGAGAGGGGCCCGGTGCATGATTTCATCCATGGGTGGGATGAGTGGGGTCTGGCTAGCCTGGACAAGGGGAGGGGGCATGGGTGGTAGCTGGCCTACCTTCTGGTTGAACTCCCGGTCGAGGGGACAATTTTCATATTAGCTTTTTATTATATAGGATATACACTGAATGGCCAGATTATTACGTATGCTTTCAGAGATCATAATAATCTGGCCACTCAGTGTAAATCAGAAGGCTTTAAAAATAAATAAATAAATAATAAATAAGGCTTTTTTATCGTGAAAAAAAAAATCAGCTGTCAACATTGTACTGAAAAATGAAAAGCTTGATGTTGGTGTCTGGGCTGAAGTAAAGCAGTGCCTTTTTATTCTCCCTGCTCTCACATACAAAATCATAGTAGTGGGCAGGAGGACCTTGCTTCTATTTGTTAAGAAACCATGTTCAGATGACACTTGTTTAGTTCTCTGCTGAGCAGGCTTTGAGATGACTTAAATCTGAGGATAAGCCCTCACATTGTTTATTTGGAAGCTTTGATGCTTGAAAGCCAAAGCAAAGGGATGCCACCTTGTATGAAATGCAGTCAGGGGAGCACTAGACAAGAGCTCCTCATTCTTGTGCGAGGGCACCCGGTGAATAGCCGGTGACCCTGGATTGATCTGGGATAGGCTCTCACGGTGCCCTGATCTCCTGTGAGATACTTGGACTCTCTTGGATGCCTGCCAGTTTTTAAAGAAAAGTTACCAGTTTATTCTGAAGCATCAGGATAAGCGCTCTCAAACACCTGCTCTCAGAACCCTGCTTTTGGGTGTGCTGTATTGGTTTGCAGTGAAATGAGGAAGATAGAAATAATTCATTACATTTCTCCATAAAGATCAGATCTCACTTCCACAAGTTGATCTGTTTTTCTTGAGATATTAAAGACCTACCATTTTATTCTGAGATAATAATGGTAACTAGAATCTTTAGGTGGCAAATAGCCATTTTTAGTGTACTTAGGTGGCGTTGTTTGGTTCCCCTCCTATTGCTGGGTGCATGTGGGAAGGGCCAAGCTGTACAGCAATGCTGGCGTTTCCCAGCACCAGGCCGGTGACAGGTCAGCAAAAGTCTGAAAGCACCCCAAGATGCACTACCCCCTTCTCCCCCTGCAAGTTGTCTGTTAGGCTCAGTCACTGAAAGAGCTGCATGAGGAAGGTTCACAGTGGGTCACCAAGTAGGGGTAAGTGGAGTTCACCAGATTATCAGTTCAAACTTGGTGCCAGCGCTGGGTCTGAGGCCACTCAGCAAATGTCTCCAGTTATACCAAGTCTAGCTGCTACCCACTGGGTGCTTGCACACCTTTGTGTTGGCGTGGGGTCTCAGGGAATCATCAGGTGAGGCCAGCAGAGAGTGGGCCTAACCCTGATTAGTGCAGTTTAAAGATCATCAGGTCTTACGGTTTGTCATGGGGCCAATCCCTCCCATTCCCATCTTTTTGTCTTGTGAATTTATAAAAATTTTTGTTTATCTGATAAGAACAAAATAATAAGTTGTACATTCAGTTTAGTCAGTGCAGTATTCTCTTTGAGTTGAATGGGAAATAGGTTCCTATAATTTCCTTCCTCAGGCTGCTTGGAGTTTCATTCCACACTGTGTCACCTTGCATAATTCTGGCTGAGATTAGCTTTCCCTACATCCACACTGGTTGCTGGTCTTCTGGGAAGCCTGGAAAACTGTGGGCCTATCAGCTCACTGGGGAAAGGGGCAGCCCTCAGATGTTCAGGAACCTTAGTGCTGCAGAAGAACAGCTATCACTCTAGGAACCAATGGAGGCCTGACCATAGCCAACCTGAAGTACTCAGCGCATACAAAAGCTCTAAGGGCAGTGACCTGGCGAGTAGCAGGGATGATGCTATGTGAAATCTGGGTCTTCCATGAAACCATGAGGGCAACTGCAGAGTGATAAAGCAATTATGGAATATGGAGAGAGGGAAGACTGAGTCAGTGGCAGAAGACTGATTAAACACTCGTGGTTTGAGCTGATGGTTCTCAGCACTTTGGGATTCTAAAAGCTTAAAGTTCAAAAAGTAGTTTGATCCACTTATTTGGTAAGCACTATATTTGGGCCTTTCAGTAAATTTCTCTTTGTATCTGAATTGGCCTTGGAACTCCCTTGTTTATCCAGAGAAACTGCATGTAATTGTTTCTTCTGACAAGGCACCTATAGCATAAGTAGCCCCTCTCTGTGTTTCTGATTTTAGTATCAATCACATTTCATTGTCATTAACTGCTTTCTTTCTCATTCATCTATGAACCTCTTTAGGTAAGAGATCATCATGTCACCACTATTCCTTTGCTCACACAGTTCTTGTCATACGGCAGACCAGTAGTGCTCAAAACGTGGTCCCAGAAGTGCCCGCTTCAGTTTCACCTCAGATTTCACAATACACAGAAGCTGTGCATGTTTGGTTAAAGATTCTGCCTTTTAAACAGGCTGCCTAGATCAGCTGTCGCCAACCTTTCAAACTTCACGGACCACCAGTGGTCCACAGACCTCCGTTTGGCAACCACTGACCTAGATGATTTCTTCCCACAATGAAGGTCATTTTTATAGAACGTTCTTAACAAATGTCTGCTGATTTATTGATATGGTCTTTTGTGTCTGGAAACAAGATTTAGGTCACCTTTCATGTGAGGTTACAGTAAGAGACAGAGAGAACAGCTGTCTATGAGGAAGTGGGCTTTCATAAGACACAGAATTCGCCATACCTTGATCTTAGACTTCCCCACTTCCAGAATTGTGAGAAATGCATTTGTTGTTTTTAAGCCCCTAATCCACCTCCTCCAAAAATATTTAGTTCAATGACTCATTCTTTGTGGTCAGTAGTTTCTCAAGGAGATTACACTCCACTAATTACTTTTCTTAGGTGCAACTTAAATGTAGTCTCAACTCTATTCACTGAAAACATCAAAAAATCATCACTCAACCTTTATTAAGTGCATGTATCTACAATCCATTCTACTCCCTAATGCCAAGGTATTAGGGGGAGCATTCTAATTCATATGTAAACTGGTCTGTGCAGATGTTTGAAATCAGACAGTGATGGAAACCATGGTGGTGATAGGGGGAGGGCTTGATGTAAAGGAGCATCTTAGTTACACATAACATGTATGTCCTGATCTGCAGAGGAGCCGGGATGTATGTAAAGAGTGTGCCTGATCAGTAAGACTCGGAGGATGCAGTGAGACCCGGGGAAGTTCAGAAGAACAGCTGTTTTATAAAAAGGGTTGTTGAGAAGGTTTGTACTATTTCTGAGTGGGATTTACAATGATGACTAGCATTGACAGGGAGCCAGGGATGCTGGGATTAGAAGTCTATGGTAACAGAACAAATTAAAAAGCAAAAGAAGTTGGAGTGATACAAACCCAGAGTTTCTCTGTTAACATCTCTTCAAAACTATTCGTCTATCAGTAAAAACATTTTGACTCATTTTCCTTCAAAACAATAGCCAGAGGTTTCCAGCCAAACACAGCTCCAAAGCTTTGGTATTAAATCAAAAGTATTGACTCATTTTATCCCACACCAGTTCAATGCATGCCAAAAGCAACGTGCAGGCCATATGTGAAATGAAGGAGGAGTATAGCATAGGCACCAGGCAATATCAAGCTGCTCTAATGTGTCCTGGGATATAAAATGCTACGTTGCTATTCCCCCATAAAGATGTAATTCTTTTAGGCCCAATTATATGTCAACCTGTCTTCACAAGAACTGATTGAAAAATTACCCAGACATCAAATAATAAAGTGCTTTCCAAGGGCCTATCTGCTTTAGTTGAATTGGAACATAGCACTCTGTCCCCATTAGCTGCCAAGCAGAAAATCCGACAGAAAGTTGGAACTCCCAAGGGACTTAGGATTCAAATCTATAAAACTCCAAATAATATCACCAATGAAATCCCACTGATCTTCTGTGATATGTACCTAGTTTATTTCCTTAAAGACTCCAATTTATAAAAACGGTCATGAGAAAGAATACATACTTTTGCCCAGATAAATTAGTGTCACAGATCATCACTAATAACTAGGATTGCCTATTGCCTATTGCCTATTCTAGCCCTAGTTTTTAAAATCATCACTGGAGGATATATATATATATTTTTTTTTACTGATTTATAGGGAAAGGGGGGGGAGGGAAGGAAGAAAAAGGAATATTGATCTGCCTCCCA